ATTACCCATTTAAGCCGTCTCCAGCCATTATTAGTCTCAAAGTGGGTTCCTCGTCATCGGACATTAAAGGTAAACAAAATGTTAGGATGGAGGTTGGATCCTTGAGGGATGATAAAGGAAGGCTCATATCTGACGATTGTGAGATGTAGTCCTGTAAGCATTGGCAAAGAATGAACGACTGCTTACAGAATTATGACACAAATGTCGCTTTTAAACACTTCAACATTTTGGTGAGTGCATGTAGCAAAGAAATGCTATGCACGAAGGAAATTGTACAAATTCACAAGATTCATCCTGAATTAAATGTTAATAAACAGCTTCAACTCTGCTCCTGAAAATTCGAACTTGATCATTGCCATTGCCCGAGGATGGTTTTTAATAAAATCAGAGAGAACTACTGGCAATTTGTGAAGGACAGGATGTGATAGGTGGGCATTGTTAAAGAGGTCTGATTTTCTGGTCTATGGCTCTGTAACCAAACAGGATTGAAGTCTATAAATATTTTGCTTAGCCTGAGTGATGAAAATATAATGATGAATTTACATTAAATTTCATACTTCTCAGAGAGATTTGAAATAAATTAGAGAAGAGGGGATACCTAGAAAGTAAATGTCACAATTTTCATATTATGGGAATTATTTTCAATATTTACTTATAAAATTAAGAACTTAAAACTTGTATTAAAATGTGGATTATTAGCTATGTTGTGATGCCAAGTTTATTCATTTACCATGATAATAAAGTACTTTAATTCAATTTTGAACGTGACTCAATAAAATCACATAACATGTGCAGAAAAGGATGCTCATATGAAAAGAGTTAATCATGCAGGGACCTGGATCATGCACAAAGATGACGGATGAGATGCTGACCACACCTCTTCATTTTGCTGCCCTAGAACAGAAGCCTACTATATAAAACAAGTGTTAAAAGTTACTAATTTTAAAAGATTGATGACAATATAATGATTAATTTACATTAAATTTCATACTTCTCAGAGAGATTTTAAATAATATTAGAGAAGAGGGAATACCTAGAAAGCAAATGTCACAATTCTCATACTATGGGAATTTGTTTTAATATTGCCTTATAAAGTGATAATTATGACAAGTTTTGTTACCTAACTCTATATGAGTCGTATATTGTGTATGTAGTTTAATTGTTGTACTAGGCTTTTCTAATATTGTTGACATCATCTCACTCGAAGCTTCTACGTTTTTCTCCTTACGTGTACTTTTGTTGTCAATAGAGGACAAAATATTTTTAGACTTTTCTATCATGTTATAAATACTTGCAGATACATAGAGAAAGTAAGTTAATGAAAGTAAATAAAAGTTAAGTTAGACTGCTTGATTTTCAGTTTAGCCATAACGGGCAATTTCTAAAGTGAATTTCATAGTTTCTAATGTAATAACAAAAAAAGAGGAGAATAATTTGTCTTGTCAAAGGGTGTTCTAAGTAATTGAACTTGCCTGTGTGGACATTGAGGAAAAGGAGACAATTATTTAAAGTTGAGATACAACTGTGGTAACCAACAGTTATGGTGATTATTTTAAAGTGAGTTTCACAGCTTGTACTGTAACAACAGAGATAGAGAAGAATAATTCATCTGATCAATTGAGATCTAAAGCAATTGAACCAGCTTTTTGCCAAAAAACAAAATTATTTAAAGCTCTAGATTCAACTGCAATAACCCATAGTTTAAATAATTTCTTTTTGTACATATGTTTGACTTGTTTTAAATATAATATTTTAAAACAAGTGAACTGTGAGCTGTCCATTTACTGTTGAAATTTATCACTAACAAGTCACAGACCTACTGTAAAGAATCATGGTCCCTATACAAAACTTGACACACAAAATGGGTACCAGTCTAGTTTCATTACCAACAGCTTGAAAGACATAAAAATACAAATTGATACAAAAACAAGTTCAACACTATTTACCTCTCTTATGTACAAAACCTAAGTGATAAGATCACATTTGTAATGGTAAACACCAAGGTCCATTGGAAATCTTACAGGAACACTCCAACCTACTCTAGTCAAAAACTAAACACAACATCTGACAACACTTTAGGGTAAGAGTAAAAGAACATAAAGACTGTACAAGACTGAAAAAACACAGAATTCTACTCTGGCAAAACCTCTCATGTTGACAGGACATAAAATAAACAGTAACATACACAAACTAAAATAAATTCTGGAAAACAACAACAACAAAGATTCTTTCTATATCAATACAATGAAACCATCACTTAACTCTCTCAACAAGAAGTTGCTCGATTTGACCAACCCCGTGACCTCTTTGTACTCGTTTAATGTCTTTAGAGATTTAATACTTCTAAATTTAATATATAGTGTGTATATCTTCACAAAATTTGGCAGTCTTTCAGTTAACATTATAAGTTTTTACATACAAAAAATCATATTTTTAGT